ACTTATTCAAATTCGATTAAGGCAATCTGATAAATACAAAAAAATAAGTATTGATAAAAAAAAAAACATGGAAGAAACTTTTTCAATTCTATTTTTGAAATATTTGGTTAAACAAAAATCAAAATCACCCTCACATGAATAAAAAAAATGACGTCCCTCTAGACATTTCTCGCAAAAAAAAAAACACTTTAATAATTATACGTATCCAGAAATATAATAACTAATATTAATAAGGAAAAGTTACATAAATACACAACCTAAGATATCATAATCTCTAAAATTTCCTACCATTTAAAAAATTACAAAAATCCCCTCCCGTATACATCCTTATCCCCTCTCGGATACATGTCTCCCCTCTTAGATACATCCATATCCTCTCTTGTACACATCCCTTCTATTAAGTAATGTATCATTTGCAATGTATCGGATAATCAAAAAATGTATCCGAAAGCAATGAAGAATTTAAATTTTTTATAAAATTTAAGAAAACTTTCAAAATAAGATGCAATTAACTCCCAAATATATGAGATTTCGATAAGTTTCTCTAATGATAAACCCTCTGAAGATGAAAAAGTTATTTTTTCATAAGACAAATTTCGTTCTAAACATGGACGATTCTTTCAACTTCAACAAACATGGAATGACAGATTTCAATATCAAAATTACTACGAATACTGCATTAGGAGCATAAATCATATCAATCTTATTTGATTTACGATTTTCAATTAAAAATTTAAATCTTCGTTCTTGATAATTTATTCTGATTCTACTAACACAATTAAACATATTTTATGAATATCACACAATTAAATGTAATATATATATATATATATATATATATATATATATATATATATATATACTAAAAGATGGCAGAGAGTTCTTCCAACAGATGAGAAATCCTCAAATCAAGTGTTAATTAATACAATATAATAAGCATAAGGTGACCGAGAGATAATAAACAAGTAGATATTTTTTTTGAAGAATGGATAGTTGGTCTACAAAAAGTTAATTTTTGCTAAGTATATAAGAATCATATGTATATCAAATAGTTCTAATATCTCCACTGTACCAGCTATAGAAATTACAAGCAACTATGTTTGAGGTGTCATATGACATAGTTTTTGTCAGAAAAAAATTGTTAAATTTGTATCTATAATTAAAAGACAGCAAAAAAATAATATTATGTATAGATACAAAAGGGCAGTTTTTGTCAGAAAAAAATTGTTAAATTTGTATCTATAATTAAAAGACAGCAAAAAAATAATATTATGTATAGATACAAAAAGGCGCACAACTCACTTGGATAAGTATATGAATATCAATTGTCTGCTTGAAGGATGTGAGTTTGACTCTACACATCTTGCCTTTTAAATAATTTTAGAAGCTTTAAGTTGTTTAGTGATATAAAAACAGCCTCTATCAAAGTTAAAAATAATGAAGAAGTTGTTTATTGATATATCTTCTTTCTTTCTTATATTGTTTTTTCTTTTCTTTTTTTTGCCTTTTATTTTTTATATTTTATACAAAAAAAATATATTTAGCACTATTATTTCTAATAAGATTGTTTTAAAAATGAAATTTTATCCACAAAAAGTTAATTTTTCCATTTTATTAATTTTCAGTTTAAAAAAAATGTGCACCAAATATCAAATCAAAATATTTCAGTTCAGTTTGATTTTTTAAACTTTGGTTCGATTTAATTTGATGTTTTTAAAATAATTTTTCGAAACAAATAAAAAATAAAATGAGAATAAAATTATCAAAACATTTTACTAAACATAAAACTTGAAATAACCAATAAACATATTTAATAATACGTTTTCAATAAAGAACTAAACAAGTTTTTTTTTTTTGTTTCTGACTTTTTGTGTCCAACAAACACTCTTGGCTATTGACATTGCTTTCAAAAACGAATACCGACATACAAAATAGAAATTTTATAGAACCAAATCGAACGTCAACCCCTAGCTATCAACTATGATGTGTAACATGTGGGTAGTGAGTTTTCTTTTGTTTGTTTTAAGGCTGAGCTCTAAAATTTGAAATTGGGTGGGTAAAAATATTAAAATGTTTTGGATTAAAATTTAAAATATATAATTAATAAAATTTTAAAATATTATTTTAAATTTAGTTAATAACATTGCAATTTTTCGGTACACCATTTTTTTTTTTACTCTCACAACAAACCACCGAATCAAAATCGAAACCGAAAAATTGAATTAATTTGATTTGATTCGATTTTTCCGATATTTTTGCTCACCCCTTGCGAGGATACATTCACGTAGTATATCCTGTCTTTGGCAAATCTGAATGAGTGTAGAGATTTGTAGACTCTCGTCTGGTGTCGTCTCTTGGAGAATCACTTGAGAGATTGGTGGTTCTTTGCTCCGAAATTCAATCTTCTTGCGGTACTCCCCTTTTCTCCATCTCTTTTCCTATACTCGATTTGCTATTTTAAGTGTTAATCAATTAATATTGTCTTTCCACTTCAATCTCAACAATTCAAGAGTTTCCCCTTGTTTTTTCTGATGATGAATGCCCAACTACTGTTCGTTTTTGTTTTAATCACATCAGTTATTGGCGTTCTACTTAAATATTATAGTTTTACATTCCAAAACTTCTTCACGAACCAAATGGATATAGTTCATGTAGTACACCCTAATTAATTTGGGATGAGGATTTTACTGGGTTGTTCATTGAAATTGGGGGTGGCAAAATCAAACCCAATTGCCTAACCCGTTTAAGTAATAACCCCATTGAGTGGATATGTAAAACCAAATTGACTCATTAGAAATTTTGTCAAAATCTTTTTAATTTGATATGTTATATACAGTCATAATAAAGAAAAAACTAGTTTTATTAGGTACTAAAATATTTTAAAAAACAAATAAAATAATTAAACCTATTAAAAATTTGGTTGGGTTGGGTCTTGACCTGCTCTATGACCTGTTTTGATCCAACCCATTTTGACCCAAACAAATTTGGGTTGGGTCAAGTCTTGACCCATTATGACTCGTCCAAATTTGACCCAACCCGCCCAATTGTCACCCCTAATTGAAATTATTTCCTAACTAGTTTTTGGTTGAGTAGTTGATTGTTGGTGCAATATCCTTCACTTCTTATACTATGAAAAATGGTTGGATAGGATTCATACAGTCCATCCTAACAAGTTAGATTCATACACTGGCGATATGAATCCTTTATAAAAAAACTAAGCACCTCAATCCGAAACTTTTTTTTTTGAGATCTTTAGTTTTTATTCTCCAGGATTTTGACTAAGGGGACACTATCTAGGATTTCGACTAAGGGGTTTGAAAAATAAAAAATGTAGTGTTTGTGATTTGAACTTGGAATCTCAAGGTAAATTTTGAACCTCTCAACGACTAAGTTAACCTCTAATTTTATGTTAGGGAATACAAAATCTATAAATATACATAAAAAATATTTAAAAATACCTTATAATATAGTGTAATTTATTGCTGAGGGGTTAGGGTGAATTCCCTTGCTACACTCTAGATCCGCTCCTGCATAGAGCTGAACCTAACTACTGTGCGATTGAAATTTTTTCTGTTTTGTAGAACAGGAATGGTATAGAAGATTCACATAGTCAACCTAACTAGTTTGGGATTGTGGAATCATAGTTGCTTCTTGATCAAAGATTCTTCAACTTCTATGGAATGAAATGGATATAGAGGATTTATATAGCTAACTCTAACTACTTTGAGATTAAGATAGTGGATTGATTGAAAACTCTTCAGTTTTTCAAATTTTTATAGACTCAGTTACCATAATCAATTTTATTTTTCTTATAGACTCAAATGCGAACTTCATATAGCCGACCTTCACAAGTTTGGTTTTGAGGTGTAGCTGATCATGTATCTATTTAGTTTAAGATGAGGTGTTCTTCAGTTATTAGAGCATAATGAATAAATCATGTAGCTGATATTAACTAGCTTGGGGTTAAGGTTCAACTCTTATGGAGAAGTATGGATATAGAGGATTCTTATAACTGAACTAGTTTGGATCAAAGTGTACTTGTGTGTTGATTGAAAGTTTTTCAGTTTTTGTTGAGTGGGGAATATATATAAAGGGTTCATATAGCCAACCTTAACTAGTTTGGGATGGAAGAGTAGTGGATTGCTGATTGAAAATAGACTGTTTTTTATGAGTGAAATGGATACTGGGGATCGTAACTAGTTTGGGATTTGGGTGTACTTGATTGAACATTCTATTATTTTTACATACTGATAAAAAGACATTCCAGTACTTGGATAGAGGAGAATGGATATAGAGGGTTCATATAGCCGATCCTAACTAGTTTGAGATTGAGTAATAGTTGATTGTTCATTGAAAATTCTTTAGTATTTCATCCTTTCTTGACTTGCACATTATGATTTATCAATTCTTTTTCTCAACTGTAAATTTTTTTTTGGTTCAATGGGTTGGTACAAGGTGAAAAAAAATATAGGAAACAAAAGAGCCAGTCCATAAGCTGTTCTAAATTTTGCACGCAACAACAAACCCAGTGTAAACACACAATTGGGGTCTGGAAATTTGCACTCCTCAAATCTATATTTTATGTTTCTTTTGATCAAGTTTGCATGTTTACACACAATTGGGATCATTTATTGTGTTTGCATATTTACATTTTCCATTTCTAAAAAAAAAGTGTTTGCATGTTTACATTTTCCATTTCTCAAAAAGAGAAGAAGGAAGTGTTTGCATGTTTAAGAACTAGTTTAGACTTAGATAACGTTTATTGTTAGGAAACTAGTACATTCTGTCCTTAAAATTTATATCCCCACATTACAAAAGAAGCATGGTAGAACTCAATTAATATCGAAGCAGAATGCATATATTTTGGGGAATAACTGTTCTAAGAATTTCTATCTTTTTAAAGTTATGTTTTGTAATTCAAGAAGTTTTTGGTTTGCATTGATGTTATGTTGAATGTTCACTTGGTTACTCAGTCACCATGTGTAAACAAATTTTGAATGATCCGACCTGTTATTTGGAGGACTTTTCTGTTTTCTAATTATCACCATAATTCATTACCAAATATCTCTAGATCTGCGAAACCTATCCCATTATATGTATATAGATGTGGAACTATGCAATGCAAGAAGAGTGCTGAAGTGGGGCAGATGGGCTGAATGGTGATGTGAGGTTTTTTGCTTCTCAAGAATGATGGACTTCAAACTAGTATTAGTAGCATGTTCTGTTTATGCGCTGAGTGATTTGCTTTTGGATTCTTATTTTAAGGGTGAGTTTTCAGCTAATCACTATAGCACAAAGTGGTTGCTCAAAAATCTGTACGAACAGAGTGAATTTAGACTCTCTAAGCATTCAGAAAGTCCATAGTGTCTGATTGATATGTAATTTTCAAGTTACACCAAAACTTAAAGGGTTTAAGACATCTGATTTCAAGCATAACAAGCGTTTTTGCTTTTTTTTCCTTTCTTCAAAGCGTCTATGATTAGATGTGTACAGTTCTCTACCTGAACTGTCCAACAAATGCACATGGGTACTGCTTTCCACATTGTTTTAACCTGCTTTTTTGTCCTTTCCCTACTTAGTATAATCTTTTCGGTGTGTTTGGCATGGTTCATTGCAAAAAGATTATGAAATAAGACCTCATCTGCCAGTCCTTGTTGTAATGTACAAAGAGATGATTAGGGATCTCTGGAGCTTTTGGACACCTGTGGCATCTATTTTGGGAAAACCTCTCCTTGATAAATTACCTTGTGTTAAACAAGCCTCTCAGTGACTTATAAGAAGGAAATAAAATCCTCTTTAGTCACTTATTTTTTCTTTCTATGCATTGTTTAAACTTTGCCATGTATCTTACAACACGTTTATCATATGATACATGATTCACAAGACGGCCATCTTGATACATATCCCATACTCTGCCATGGTGCTGTCATGCATATCTCCTGTTTCTCTCATATTTACAGCCACAACGTTGCTTAAGTGAATGTTAAGCTTTTATTTTGAATAGTGGAGATCGTTTTCCACGGTGCTTCCAATCATAAAAAAGGCTACCTTGCCAAAGTGGTTGCAGGCATTACATCATGTAAAATTGACATTTTTATTCACGTAAAGTGAAAAATTATGAATTTGGTCTCCCTTATTAGCATCTAACTAATGTTGACAATTGTTTGGAGTTGATTGCTGTTGGGCTTGCATATATTGGTATTTATTGGAACTGTTTGAAAATATTCCTGCTTTCATGGGTTTCGTGTATTGATTCAGCTATCTATGGAAAAACTTGGAATAGGTTCTAGTTGTTTGTAACTAATTTTGTTGGCCATCTACAGGAAGCCAAGGACCATAGAAACTTTAATTGGATAATGACGGCACATCCTGCTACATCATCTTCTGGATTGTCCTCAGAATCGTCTGAACAAATTGAGAAGCCCAAGGATAGTAGAAATATGAAAGGAACACTATCCCTCTCCCCGCAAGTCCCAGATGCTACACAGGGACCTGTGGCAATTTTTTGGGATATTGAGAACTGTCCTGTTCCTAGTAATGTACGCCCTGAGGATGTGACTGTCAACATCAGAATGGCTCTGCGGGTCCATCCTGTAATCAAGGGACTGGTCACTATGTTTTCTGCCTATGGAGATTTTAATGCTTTCCCCAGGCGATTAAGAGAGGGCTGTCAGAGGACTGGTGTTAAACTCATAGATGTTCCTAATGGAAGGAAGGATGCAGCCGATAAGGCGATCTTGGTTGACATGTTTGTTTTTGCTCTTGACAATCCTCAACCATCATCCATTATGCTAATTTCAGGAGATGTTGATTTTTCTCCTGCCCTTCACATTCTTGGTCAACGAGGATACAATGTAATTCTTGTCATTCCTGCTAGAGTGAGTGTTTCATCTGCTTTATGTAATGCAGGGAGTTTTGTCTGGGATTGGCCAAGTGTGGCCCGAGGTGAAGGCCTTTTCCCCCCTGTGAAGGCCTTAATTCCTCCTCGTGGAGGTGTGGCAGACGTTTCTGGGATGCTAATGGGTTGCCAGATGTATGAGAATTCAGATAAACAGAATGAAGAAGAAGCTACAGTGTGTAGAGGCCTCTCTCGAAGCAATTACAATGCAAGGAATTTCTCAATGATATCAGAGTCTCTAGCTGAATATAATGGCATTTCAATGTCTTTGCCATGCCATCCTGGGGGTATGCCATCTCACAGCCTTCCATCTGGTTTAACTGAGGTTCCAGCTGTAGGTCCATCTTTATTTGGCCAGAGTGATGTCACACCGGTTCCTCCTGGGGATATAAATGGTTTGAAGGGACAGCTGGTGAAGTTGCTTGAATTATTTGGAGGTTGCTTGCCTCTTACACATATCCCCGTAGAGTACCAGAAATTTTATGGGAACCTGCTTTATACTTCAGAATATGGGGCTTGTAAATTTATGAATCTTCTGAAGAAGATGGCTGATGCTATATCTGTCGAGGGAAAAGGCCAAAGAAAGTTTGCTTACCTCCGTAACAGAAGAGCCAGACCAAGTACTCCTCCCTTGATTGTGGCAAAAAAGGATAGAAAAGGAAAAAGAATGCAAGTAGTGAATGCTGATAATGTGACTACACCCGAATCTTCAGATGAGTTCTCAGATGATGAAAGATTAGTTATAGAACATGGGGGGCGTAAGAAATCTGATACAGCTGCATTAGTTGAACAAAGCCTCCAAAGGTTCAAGCATGAGATTCAAGAGATTCTTGTGAGCTACTTTTGTCGGATTCTTCTTAGTAATTTTGAGGCAATATATAAACTGCGGTACAAGAGGCCTTTGGACTATGAGAGCTTTGGAGTGACAGAACTTGAGCAGCTGCTCGAAAAGGTGAAAGATGTAGTGGTTATGCAAGAGGAGCCAGTCAGCAAGAGAAGGTTTCTGGCTGCTGTTGGGGGGTAGAGGAGCTGCTCATTCTGTTTTGTTGACAATTTACCATGTAAAAGTGAAGTTTTCTGACTGCTGTTGGTGGCTAGAAGAGTTGATCCTTTACCATTACTTGACAACTTACTGTCTAAACTTGCCTAGAATTCTTCAATTGAGGTATGCATCGTTGCGACTCTATGCTTGTCCTGTTTCTTGTTTCTCCTGAGCAGGGGGGAGAAAGACTGATTTTTTTGTCATTCTCAGCTTATATGATAATGTCAGAAGTTCCGCCGTAATGTGAAGTGGCTTTACCTGATGAACCATAATGGGAATCTTCCTGTACATTTACGGCTTACCTGCAGTTACTGTTTGCATCTGAATACATGTTAGAATTATTCAACCAATAGTTTGTTTCCAGTGAATAACAGTCTGTAGTATGTCATTCTGACGCTTTCCGTTTCACCATTTCCTGTTCAAATTTGTCGAACATTTGAGCATTGACATAAATAGTTCTGTATTGGTGCTTTAATCAGTCAAACTTTCTGTTATGGATATTTACTTTGAAAAAGCTTGACCGTTGCTTGGCTCTATCTCATGGTTCTTACTCTTTTCTTTTTCTTGTTTTCTGGGCCAACGGAGTAGAGACTGTGTTAACAAAAGATAATTGATCTAGGCATCTGAGTTTGAAATAAACCATTTACATTCTCCCCTGTATTGTACATGAAATCACATATTTGTTAGTTATATGTAGATTTGCTTCGATGTAATAGATTAAAGTCCCTAGGGACAACTGCTCACTGTTATCTTTTATGGGTGAAACTCTGAAATCTACTTTCTTTAAAATACATTCTGGTGAAGGCATTTGAGTGTTGCATTCTTGCTTAAACTCTTGCCACAAACCATTGGAAAAGATCCATTCCAACTATATGTATTAACACATTTATAATCAGCTTCAAATTGAGGAATTATTTGATAAATTGTGGTTTTTATATTTGAACATAAGAAAAGCTTCTCATTGTCTTGATTAACAATAGATAAGAGGTGCCCATTGTATAGAAGTCTTAGGCTATGTATAGTATGGTTGGTAAACCCTTATGCTAATTAATTAGGTTAGTAAATATTCTATGATTAAAATATACTAAGGTATCACCCTTTGGGGTGGCGTAGTGGTTTGGGCTTGGGACTTCCATTGTTGGAGGTCTCAAGTTCGAAACCCCTTGCCAGCGAAAGCAAGGGGTTTGCCTTCTGGGTTGAGTTCGTCGCACCGGGTTTGCCTAGTGTAGGTTACTCTCCTGTGTGCATAGGAGCAGGGTTTTTACCCTGTGCGTACTCTAAGGATAGCGACTGCGGTTTCCCTCGTCATAGAAAAATAAAAAATACTAAGGTATCATATAGAATATTCTATATGATTTTACTTATTTTAGTACAATGAATATAGACACCTATTCACTTGATATTCTAACATGCCACTTCAAATTTGAAACGGGAAAACCAACTCAAGTTTGCTTTTTTTGAACAATAGAGAGTTGATGTCAAATTATATCTAGAATAGTGCAAAATCATCAAAAAGAAAAGCGGTGTTGGAATTCTTTCCTAAAGAAAATTGTTGGTGTGGACGACAAAAGAACTACATATGAAAAGAAATCTATTCTCAATCATTGAAAAAGATATGGTTTTGCAAATCTCCTGAACATTCTTGAATGACAGAGCAATGAAAAGAAATTATAGGTCTTGGAAGAGGGCACTGATCATATAAAAAGTAGATGTGTTGGTCACGAGAGAGAATGATGCTTGAAAAGTCCTAGAGGAGCGGTGCATGAACGATCCTCTAGGGATTAGGGGCACCTTTTGTTGAAGAAAAGAGCAACACCAAACATCAAAAGGAAGATCAGAAGAAGAAAATATTGGCTTGAACACAATGGCCGATATAGTTTGCCAATAGTGGAAGCTATTCGAGTCTTTACCAATATCACAGAGGTCATGTTGAAGTGTGTGATCATCTCATCTAAAACTGAAAGCAAAGCTATAAGAGGGAGCACATTCTTTTTACTTAATTATATATTCAACATGCCTTTTTACGTGCGGGCCTGGTTCTTTTTCATGAGCCAAAGACATGAAAATTTCTCTTGCTTTTGGGCTTATGTTGCTCCGACTCTTTACTTTTGGTGCTGCACTCATGTTGACACAATATTGGTGTGGGTTGGGATCCGTACACGATCTGGTCAGCCGATTTTGGGTATTGACCAAAAATCGATGAAGAAATTTCGGACAGTTTTTTCTTTTTTGTAATCAAAACAAAAGCTAAGTGAAATTGAAGACAATGGAATATCTTGTATAAAGAATTTTCCGTCACTCCTTTTTCCTTTAATCTCATTTGAGGATTCTTCGCTTGATCAATATTCTCCTCAATATCTCATAATTTAGGTTTTGTAACTCTATTTTTTAGATATTTGAATTATTTTTAGCTGAATCCCCGCACCCGTATCCATAGTTGGATCCGTATCTCCAAAATCTTAAAATTTAGATCATGAAGGATCTGACCTCTAGATCTGCACTCATATAGGACACCTGCACCTGTGTCTCAGCAACATAGCTTTTGGGTGGCGGAAGGGAGATAACATCAGAATCCCAAAAGATGGAATTGGTAAAACCTCATAAATGTTTTGGTGTGCGGGAGAGAAGGGTGCAAATTAAGGTTTGAATTTGGAAGAAGGTAACATTGACGGATATAAGGTACTGCTGGATGTCAAGTGAGATGCACTGATATTTGTTTTGCACACTTGGATAACCTAAGAATACACACTTAAGAGTACAGGGGCTAACTTGTCTTTGGTAAAGTTATGGACAAAGCCTCCCAAAGACATAAGGTGGGAGAGAAAAAGAAAGTTGAGTGAGGAAACAAACTAGGGTATGAGACTTGATTCTGAGTTGCAGAGGAAGGCATAAGATTAATAAAATAACAATATTTGCGAACTGCATTCCCCAAAATTGCAATGGAACATGTATAGGTAGGGTGTGAACAGTCTCAATGAGACTCCTATTGTTCCTCTCAGCTATCTTATTTTGTTGAGATACATAAGAACTTGTTTGATGAATGATCCCATGAGAGTTTTATGAATTGCCGAAATGGAGAAGATAAATAGTTTGGTGTATAATCACTATGAGAAGTGTGGCTATAGACACCATTCCAACATAGAAAATCTGAAAAATGTAAAACAACTAAGTTGTCTTTTCATCAAGAATATCCAAGTGGAGCTGGAATAATCATTAATGAACCTGTCAAATTAGCGGAATCTGAAAGTAGGACTGACCCAACTAGAAAGACAACATCTAAAGTGACTAAAAAGAAAAGAGACTCCTCTATTATCAGACTTGACGGAGGAGGAGCAAGTGTGGTTACTGAATTGACACAACTCACATTCTAAAGTAGACAAGTGAGACAAATAAGATACCATTTTCTGAAGCTTTGATGAACTAGGATGTACCAATCATCTATGTAATATACCCAGTGAAGCAATAACATGATTAGCTATGTATAAAGGACACACTTTGGACAATTTAGGAAGGCTGAGGTAATAAAATTCATGTCATTCATGCTTGGAACCTATGATTTGCCCCGTACTACCTTCATGTATCTTACAATAGTGTTGTTGTGGACAGTCACTGAGCAGTTAAATGTTTGGGATAAACGACTAATGAAATATGAGATTACATGAAGAACTAAATTTAAAGTTAAAGTAGGAGCTAGGCTAACTTTACCTATTTCGTTGCCATAATTTGAGATATATTGGTCAGTGTGACTATCAGAGGAGATGAGAGTGAAACATAGTAGGTAAAAGATACTTATTACTAAAAATGTGATTAGACCTTAGAAGCACGTGAATTAGTGACCCAAGGACTAAGAGTTGGAGATTGGGAGACACAAGCCATTCTATTACCTGTCATGACGATATGAGCTATCTCGGAAGAATATGTTTAAATGTTTTGTACGAAAGGAATCCAACATAATCAGGCAAGAGACCATCTGATCATTTGAAGTGTTGGATCTCATCTTCTTGACCCAAATCTTCTGAAGCCTCGTGAAACTACACCAAGTCTATCAGAAAACTGGACTGGAAAAAGGTGAATCGTATTGTACCTCAAAAAATGGGATTTACCTGGAAAGTGTTTGGACTTGTCCAAAAATGTCATAGGAATGTTTTGAGAATCAGATACCGAACTCTTAAGTTGTAGTCAACTTGATTAGTGCTGAATCTGTGGCAGAGTCGTAGAAATGAGTCTGTTCAATGAATATATGGTTGGAATATCTTGAATTAAGTCTGTTCCACATCGGAGAAGATCCCAATTGTCTTTGTTCCTTGTCGGAGAAGCATTTGGTCATCTAAACATGTTGAAACTTCCGGGATGGTTACGGGACAGGAGGACGTTCCCACAATCATAGATGTCTTGTAAAAAATGAATAGAGAAAACGACACATGTTGACGCGTGCAAGAACATGTGTTGGATAGTAGTGCCTCCGTTTTAATTTATTTGAACTTATTTAACGCTTGGACCTTGGTCCTCTCATCATGTTAAGTGGCACACTTGAATCTATTATTGATTCAAATCCCTTTCTCCCTTTGCAACAATTGACCAGAAAAATGAAAGAATAGGTGAGCCAAGAATAATGTGTTACCAGCTTGCCTTGATCGGGATCGTGTTCAGAATAGAATCAAACCCTTCTGCCAAGTTATAAGTACTAAGGGGAAGAGAAACAAGATCTTTTGACTAATTCTCTAGAAATTCCTGCTAAACTTTGTAACTACAGTATCGGCTCTCACTTGATGAAGCTATTCTTTACTGCAGTTGGATAATGTCTTGCCCTAACCTTGATAGACTAATGAGAAAGGGGAGAAGTCAAATTAATTAGCAATCTTGTCAGGGCATATCCAACCATTTTTCCATTTTACTGTTTTTCTCTTCATTTTACAGTTCAATATCTTAATTCCTGACTACTATGATAAGACTGTAGACATTTCACCTCTGAGCAAGGTAAGTTAGCCCTCAACGGGGAAAGCCGTTTCATGGTGGCCTAGTGTAGGCAGACCTGACATCCTCAAAGGATGAGCTCTATTTATTTTATTACTATGTGAAATACTTGGTAGTTTCTTCTAGCGGAAACTTCCTTTGTCTCATCTGATTATCTTTTCTATTATTGCTGTTCCAACTTCAGGCACAGGCTCTGGATTATAGATGTCTGTCCAGTTAATAACTCCTCAATGGAGTCAGCGATGGCAGGCCAGTTTTGTAATGGTAAAATCACTCATTGCTTTTTTCAATTTGATTATGGTTTGAATGCATATTGGAGACGAAGTAGGCGTGGCTACCATGCTTCTGCTGAAGGTGTAATGGGAATAATAGTCTATGTTACATGGACTCAGCTTTGGGTACATAACCATATGGATATGTACAGTTTTTGGCATGAAGTACCTATAGGCTATACCAATTTTGCTTACATTTGAAACCAGCACATCAAGGCAATGAGGACCATATAACATAGAACATAGCTAACTTTAGACCATCTAACCTTGTTTTATATACGAGGTTAGAGGGTCTATCTGTAATCCATATCTAATAGCTTTAGGAGATCTGAACTAACTTTAAGTGCATGTGCACCAGTTATGAAGTGGAAATATGGTTGTATGAATATCTACAACATTAGAAATGTGCAACCACCTTAGCGTGGGATTCCAACAAGCTTCGTGGTAGGATTACTTTTTCCAGTGTAAAATCACAGTCCATTTTTTATCCCGTAGTATCTGGCATATAGGCTAGACAGAATTGGGCTAGTCTTACCTGCTGTGCAGATATGTTCTGTAAAGAATGTGCAAGACAATAGTCTTCTAATTAGGCTTCAGAAAGGACTATTATTATTCAGGAGTATCTATCTAGTCCAGGCTGGAGCTCCCTTCTTGCTTCATATGAAACCTTTGCTCTCTTGCTCACCGATTATGGTGAATCTTTGCTTGCCAAGAATATGTTGCATCTCGCTCATGGACTATCACTTGTCAGGTGAATTTTCAGACGACCATTCATTGATGCGCTTGACTATCTTTCCTTGTACTTTTCTCTAACCCCTTTTCCTTGGCAGGTAAATGCGAGAATCTGTAACTTTGCTTGTTTACCCATGCATGGCACTTTGATGCTGCTTCATCAGACGGGTATTTACTTGGACGAGATTTGGTTTCCCACATTTGATATTTGCAGCACTCATTGGGAAGGTGCTCACGATGTAATGATGGTTTCCTCACCATCTCATTTAGAATATGAGAGATCAGTTATGAGGAGAGAGAGAGAGAGAGAGAAGACTGATCCAAAAGGATTTGTTGATTGTTGTATTCTTACTAGATCTTGAAATCTATCCTCGAGCATTATATCATGTCAGTTCCCAGAGTTGGACCGCTGTTAAAATGCTGTTTATGTGACGGAGGACTCGCGGAGGTGCTTCTTTGGTAATGTCAGCAATCTCTTTATTGCAAATACTGAAAATTGAAATTTATTATGTGTAGACTGGTGCAATTATTTGCTTCAACAATCAGGCTACAACATGATTTTTGAGGGGCTAGAATATCCAATCTTTCTGGTTTAATTCCTGGTTTTAATAGCAGATTAAGGATTTTTATTTTTAGTACTAAGACTCAAATTTGAAAGAATGTTCAATGTGAGAATGAAGAATAAAGGAACGCAAGTTGGTGTAATTTGATGTATCAGTTGTCCTTATTATATATTGTATCAATTGTTATTATAAAATAAAAGATTATGTATTAAATCTAAAGAACAAAGAACAATGAGAGAGCTAAAGCATAGTGAAGTAGTAGTTCATATTATTTTCTTCTTAACCATAGGCTATTTATAGGCCATATACGTGAAGCAGATTATGACATTCACAAGCCATACATGTTCTGCACAAGTCATCCACATTCCTACCATGACAATTCCACAAACAATCCACACTCCCATCTTTCTTAACAATATGCTTCATTAAAATCTAACTAGAGGGAAAAAAAACTCAGTGAAGAAAAAAGAGTACATATATCTTTAAATACGCATTTGCTTGTTGCCTCATTAAAAATATTGCTAGGAAAATTTAGTAGGACAAAATCTAGACTAAGGAAAAAAGAGTGCAACACGTATTTTACCCCCTCCCCCCCCCCCTCCCTCCCCCCGATAAAGACCACAATTCTTCACATTCCAATCTTGCGTACCATCTTCTCAAGAGTTGAGGCTGGTAAAGATTTGGTGAATAAATCTGTTGGATTATCACTTGAACGAATTTGTTGTACATCAATATCATCATTCTTTTATGGAGATCATGTGTGAAAGAATAATTTTGGTGAAATGTGCTCTGTTCTATCTCTTTTTATAAAGCCTCCTTTTAATTAGGTTATGCATGCAACGTTGTCTTCAAATAGGACTGTGGGTACCTTTATATCACACTTCAGGCCACACCTTTCTTTGATAAAATGTATCACTGATCTCAACCATATACATTCTCGACTAGCTTCATGAATAGCTATATTTTCAGCATGATTTGAAGAATTAGAAACTATGAATTGTTTCGTAGATCGACATGATATAGTAGTACGTCTATATGTGAACAAATAGTCTTTTTGAGATCGAGCTTTATCTGATTTAGATAAATAACCTACATCTACATGACCTACGAGATCTAAACTATGTTTGTTTGGTATAAAACATACTCATATCATTGGTCCCTTTAAATGTCACAATATATGTTTAACTCTGTTCCAATGTCTTTGTGTAGGGGAAGAACTATGTCTTGCTAATAGATTAAGAGAAAATGCAATGTCAGGTCTCGTAGCATTAACAAGATACATAAGTGCACCAATTGCACTAAAATATGATACTTTAGGACCAAAAGGTTCCTCATCTCTTATTGAGGTCGAGACGGATCTTTATTCACTTCAAGTGATCGAACAATCATTGGAGTACTTAATGGATGTGCCTTGTCCATGTAAAATCGTTTCAAATTTTTTTCATTATAGACAGATTAATGGATGAAGACCCCATTTGCTAAATATTTAATTTGCATACCAAGATAAAGTTGTCTTTCCAAGATTTTTCATCTCAATTTTTTTTAGATATTCAATTGCCTTCTGGACCTCTTTTGGAGTTCTAATGAGACTTACATCATCAATCTAAACAACAAGTATAATAGACTCTGACATTGTTTTCTTAATAAAAATACAAGGACAAATGATATTATTTATATAACCTTCTTTTATCAAGTACTCAATGAAGCGGTTATACCACATGCACCCTGATTGTTTTAAACCATATAATGATTTTTGTAATATGACTGGATACATTTTTCAAAATTTTGAACTATATGCTTTAGACATTTTAAATCCTTTTTGGATATTCATATAAATTTCATTATCAAGTGAACCGTAAAGATAAACTATAACCACGTCCATCAGATGTATTTCAAGATTTTCTTGTATAACTAAACTGATGAGATATCGAAAAGTTATCGCATTCATAACTGGTGAATATGTTTCTTCATGGTTGATACTCAGTATTTGAGAGAATCCTTGTACAATAAGGCGTGCCTTGTATCTTTAAATTTCATTTTTCTCGCACAAAGACCCATTTATAGCCAATTGATTTTACATCATCAGGTGTTTAGACTACTGGTCCAAAACTTCACGTTTAGCAAGTGAATTGAATTCTAATTGAATTTATTTTTGCCAATCACATCTTCGCCAACATTCTTCGACAGATAGATGTTCAAGATCCTCATTTTCTTACATAGTGTTAAGTTCAATGTTATATGAAAAAACACATTATCCATCATATTTTTTGATCAATTCAGTATTATCTCATTATCAGTAGAACTTATTGATAGTTCTTTATTCACCTGAGACTCAGGTTCATTGATAACTTTAGAAATATTATTGATTAATCAGATCATGATTCTCTTTGTGAGATCCTTTTATGGTGTAATTTTTCATGCTTTTTTTCCCTATGATTTTTATCCTTTGAACCTAACGGCCTACCACATTTCATGTGTGTATGAGATTCAGAACCTATGACACCAGTAGATGGTCCTGTTGGAACATCAATTCGTATAGATACATTATTTGTAGGAATATGTGACTTAGTTATCCTTTTCAAATCAGTAAATCCGTCTGACATTTGATTTGCTATTTTCTTCAAATGGATGATTTTCTGAATCTCATGTTCACACATAGGGGGAATGTGGATCAAAATGAGATAATGATGAAACTGTCCATGCAATTTCTCTTTTAAGTTCTTTTTTCTCTCGCCCTAATAGTGGAGAATTTGTTTCATCAAATCAAAAATCTGCAAATCGTGCAATGAATAAATATCTCGTCAATGATTCAAGGTAGCAAATAATAAGAGTGAATCAAACTTAACATATATTCCTAACCTTCTTTGGGGGCCATCTTTGTAACACCTCAAAATTTGGATAAGGAGAAAATGAATCTTTGGGTTGAAGGTTGTGTCTACAGTTCACATCTACAGATCGTAGAAGCTATTACGGGTTGTAGGTGGCAACCGTAGGAAGGGGGAAATCATTTTTTTCAAAACAAGTCCAGTATCCTTTTTACGGTTTACTAGGATAGCCCGTCATCTCATTACGAATCGTAGATAGGTCTCGTAGGTGACTCCTAGACTTAGTGAAATCTTAAAGCTGAAGGTTAGGTTATACGATTGATATCTATGGTCCGTAACACGACCTAAGAGTCGTAGATTGTGTCAGTCAAAAGTTGGCCAAATTAAGGGTCTCTGATCATTTCCACGGTTGACCAGGACAGTTCGTAGAAGGACCTACGGACCATAGGTCCAAACCATATGAATTAGTCGACAATTATTTTTAAGGGCTTTTAAGTCTTTTCCCTAGTTGATTAATGCCTAAACTAGGTTGTTTTGATCCTTATCCTAAGCCCAATATATGTCCCCTAAGCCTAAAAACTACCCACCTAAACCTTTCTTTTAAATTCCTTAATTTTCTCCAAGATCACCCCCAAATTTCCCCTCAAGAACAATGGAAGGAGAACACTAGGTTTGGCTTGAAGAACTCGAATTCACCATTGAATGTGGGCATTGGTAGCTAAGGTATGTTAGTGTTCACCTATAGAGTATTTTCCTTCATAGGGTTCCAAAAATCCCTAATTTTGTAAAGAAAGATTTTCAATTTAAGTTAGGGTTTAATTCAATCTTCCTGGGTGATAACGCTCAACTACACTTCATCAAATTCCAAATGTAGGTGGTCGCAATCAAGTATAAACCCAACGAAGAGTTGGGGTCGATCCCACATGGAGTGATACAATAGAGAAATCAATTACGAAGTGAAATGAGTGTTTTGATCATTTGTAGAAGTAGAAATTATCGAATCAATTAAAGTAAATTAGAGGAGTTTGACATCTAGTGTCAATTGGGGGGATTAAAGTGAACAAATAACAACTACAAAAATATGGGAGTAATCAAATAGAGAGGGCTCTTTGGGGACGTGATCGATTAAACGCCAATTTCGTTATATGGGTGATTATTATCTACTAAAAGACGTTGAATCTTACTGGGTAGGCTAGACTTTAAGTGTAACAACTATTTCTCAATCAATTATTATGAATCAAGCGAGTTCTCTCGAACCTCGACAAGCCTAACAAACTAAGCAGCCCAAAACCTTAATTAATCTACTCTTTTGTGCTAGATTGGTAGGATCGAATTCAGACCCATTTTTTCAAGATGAATCCGCAATAACCCAATCACTACAATCATCAATAGATAGTTTTAATTCTAAAACCTCTTTCTCAAGCAAGCTTAGAATGCTAAGTTAGAGCTGCATTTGCAACTACAATTCGTAAATTAAAACTCAACTATCAATTGAACCCACTTCAAATCAACAATTAAATTAGTAAATGCTAACACCCATAAGCTAATTGAAACATTTAATCACATAATCACACCCCAAGAATGGGGGTTTTAGCCAAACATTATAAAAAGCAAGAAAATATTACCAACTATGTTCTCCATCAGTTTGGGTAACAAATTGCAAGTCTTCACAAAGCTCAAAATTAGTTCCAAATCAAAACTCAACTCTAA